GAGATAATTAATTTATGCGGTTATTTGTATTACCTATTTTACAAATATCAAAATGAAACTTTAATAATGTTGATCGTATTCTGTTGCCCAAATAAAATATTACATGCGTTTATTTTGTATTTTAAAATAAAGGAATGGTATAAAAATAGCGTTTTCTCGGATTTATTTAAAACTTTTATTATTTAAAATTTGAAAATAAAGATTATTAAAATGAACTATCCAAGAAATGCAACAAACTATCAAAATGAGGAAAAAACCCATGAAAAGTTTGCTTTAAAAATTTTATCACATTTTAGAAATATGAAAAAAACGCTCTTTGAATTGTGTACTTGCAATTATATTCTAGCTATTCTAATTGTTATGTTGATTCTTGAGGCTTTTGTTATAATTTTGATTTGGCAGTTAGAATTTTTTTTCTCTTATTAATTGATACAAAGAAGCTTGAACTGACTTTATTAATCTTTATATAGAAAAAATTCGTGGCATTCATATTTGTATACAGATCTTTACGAGCTAGTTGTGCATGGAACTTTTGGAGTTGACCATTTTGAACCTTGGCATATGTTAAAAGTACGAATTACACATATATGACTTTTTTGTTATAATTATCAATGGATGTAGTAGATTTGGGCACCCAGATTATGATGGGTTGGTGCCGATATAATTATTAATTGTAGTATTTCTTTTTGAAAATATATCAATGAACATTTATTAATTATTTAGCTGTCCAAAATTTTAATAATAAATAAATAGGATTTCTCCAGAACTTTTGGTAAAGTAATTTAATTCGAATTGTGGGTTATGTAATATTTAGTCATGCAAGGTTATACAGCATAAATTCAACCTATTTAAAAGGTTTTTTTCTCTAATTAAGCTATTTATACTTACTTTTGTAAGCAATATCTATAACCTTCGTTTTTTGAAAAAAATTTTGACGCTTACAGAGCACACTTTGCCAAAAGTAAGTAAAATTATCATAATTCGGAAATAATTCGAGTTTTTGGTTAATTAATTAAGTCACTTTATTTAAGTAATAGATGGTGGTGAGGTAAAAATGCAAGATATAGTTTTATTAGATAACGAAAATCAAGAAAACACTACAAACAACAACAAAAAAAAAAAAGCACTATCATAGCTACAAATCTCTATAAAGATCGAATAAATAGTGTTGTATAGAAAAAACCGATTCGACTTTTAATTTCTCTAGTTACACCATCTAATACATCATATGTTTCGCAAACATGAAGAAATATTATGAGCAAATGATGAAAAGTAAAGAACAAACAAAGACCAATCTGGAATGGATTGACTTATCTAGTAGACTTCAACAAACATATACTATATATATACAAGAGAAGAGTAAAACATATGTATTTGAAAGTGAAAAAAATAAGCCTATTATTAATATTTTAAAAGAATCTATTCCTGAAGAACATAATTCGGAAAAAATGTGTTGGAAAAGGGTTTATGATTTACTTTTATCTTTAGTAGTTAGTGGTGATAAATTAAAAATTCTTTTTGAGTTGTATTACAAAATGCTAAGAGAACTGAATATGATTATTAATTATCTACAATCAGTAGATAAAGATGAATTTGAAGACCTTAAACTTTATTTTTTGAATAAATGCAGCAAAATGATAGGTAAGCAAACTTTTTTGTTTATTTAATTTAAGTATATATTAATTGTTATTTAATAT